GAGATGGTACAAATAACTGGTTTCATCATTTACGTTTCCCTTAAACGGAATAAACAACCTATAATAACATAAACAAACAAAATAAACAGATAAAATACTCATGTGTTTTTCTTAAATGTGCAGTTCCCAATCAAAAAGTGAATTTAAGATTATAGTTAATTTTTTGTAAGCGTTCTTGGCATATCCCATTATTTATATAGTTTTTTATTATTCATAATTAAAATTAAAACTTATTTTATTTAATTTGGAGCTGCACATTTAAGAACAATATTTCACGTATTTGTTTATTGTATTCATAATTTCATAGGTTGCTTACACCATTTAGGAAGAACAGGCATGACACCTATAGCCTTTAATATTAATTTTACCAGCAAAAAATATTTCTGCTCGAAATTTAGTACAACCCACGTTGTAGGAGTGTAGAATCCAATGGCGCAGTAAGATTTTAAATAAAAAAATCGCTGATAAGTTTTTGTTAAATTTGCCACCAAAAAAATTAAAGTAGACTTTGAACAGAAAATAATTTGAAATGAGTCACAATGTATGATTTAGTCATAATGTCATTAATTTTAAGGGAAGATGGGGAAAAATGAGTAGAATGCAAATACGCGATTTAAAAAATTTTAAAATGCATATTTACGCTGGAAAAAAATTTTTTCAAATAATTATTTAAACCCCTTTTTGGACCGCTAATGACCGGTGTGTATATAGGTTTATCAAGAGTGAATCTTGACCCACCGTATTCGGTCAGTAACCTAGCTTGACTTTTTTACCTAGACATATGAATGAGTAAGATATTTTTTTACATTTTAAATATTAACAAGTATTTGTTAATAAAAACAAATNAAGCAAAGTGCTTTTAATTTTTGTTATCGTTAAAAACTGTATTTAACAAAGTTGTTCGAGAACTCAAGAAATGCTTAAATACGGGTTTTAGTCAAAAAAAGGAAAAGGATCACATTTTACAAGTGTGCGGTACTCCATCCGGGGACACACTGTATAAAATATATAAATGGAATCCACAAAAACGGATAATACATCATCTAATAAAACCTTGTCGTTTCAAGTCTAATATATAACTTTTCAATTCCATTATTTCCTATCGTCTCTGTTCCATCTAATTTTGATTTCCCCGGGGCTAATCTTCTGAAATTCATTTCCGCCGCTTCAAGAGTTTTTAAAAATCTTTCAGGCAGTGATTATATTTATCGATCATGCTAAAAGAAAATATGAAATAGAATAAGCTTCCTCAAAGAATACATAAACAATTGTGCAATTGCATAATTTTTCAATAATTTTTTTCCACCCTTCAAGAGTTTTCAGTTAAGATTAAAAATGAATATCAAATAAGTAGCCGAGTTATAATTCGTTTTTATAAATGATCTTTAATTCTTGTGTACCCTGTCACTGGGCGGCGTAAACCGAGACACCCAGAATTTGCGAATTAGTGCACTATCAACATTGACAGTTTTTAAATCAACCTAAATTGTGAGGAGTGAAAATGAAAAGTGATTTGTTAAAACGGACTGTTCTTGTATAACTTAGCGACGTGTCATTTTAAAGTCACCAGGACCAAAGGAGACGATATCAGATAGATTACGCCAACTTATAAGTACTGAATAAGAAAATGTTTGTCAGATTGGTACATTGTAGCACGCCCACCCTGTAATATTCATGTATTTGTCTATTTGTGGGATGTAAATTAATGTGTGTTGGCAACTAATAGTACCCGTTGTTAGTGGAGGAGACAGTACGGGTCAACGGTGATGAAGTGAAGGGATTCAGTGTTCTGTGGTAGCCTGGATTTTGGAGACAGTGCATCTAATTTGTAATTAAATTCCAAAAGCGCCCCGAGGGCCATCTAGTTAAAGGTTACAACGTTTAAGAGATTATGCGACCTTTGAACGCCAATACATTAATGTTGGACTTTAACAAATTCAGACACTGAGAAATTTTTAAACTCCGTGGAAAAGGACCTGGTACCAGTACACGAAGATTAACCACAGAATTTCAAGTGCTATGTTATAAAAATCAGGTCAGTAAACAAATTTTTTATTGTTGTTTGTTTCATTTATCATTATTGATTACTGCTTGAGTTTTTTGCTAGGTTAATCGGTAAGTACTGTTTCATAGTTTATATTATTTAAAAAAATGTAACCTTCCCTCTTGTAGGACGATAGGGCCCGTGACGAAAACCCAATCAACAAACGTAATGCGTCAAAGAACAGTATCTGACGGCGAGTGGCGTGAAAATTTGCTTTTAACATTTCCTTTAAATATGAGATTTGACAACAATGCATAGCCCAGTTTCCAATTGTGCACGAGTTGCAACTAAAGCTCGCCGTTATTTGAGGTTGCACTAACTTGTCCAGCGGCAGGGCATAAAATTACTAAAAAAAAAGGTTAAAAATTAAAGTTTTCCCGACGGAATTTGAAAAAATAAACTATTGATTCGTGTTTCTAAAGGTCAAAGGAAACCTCTGTATAAATATGACCCCCTCAAAGTTACACCCTGTATAAAAGCTTATTTTTACAAATTATGTAGTGAAAATTATTTTTTTTACCTTTCTTTCGTAATTTTCATACCCCGCTAGACAGGCTAAATCTGTTTACTCACCTGATTTGTACAGTATATGCTCAACATTTTCTTCATCTTCAAACATGCCCTAAGATGTGAGATTGTCTTGCCCTATCTTATTAAGATTTATGTTTTCATGTGGTACTTATCTATTGGGATTGTCTATCTGACACAGTCTTCTTGCAGCCGTGCCGTTTTCTTTTTACAATCAGTAAGCACTAACCACATGGCTCTTTTTTTATTTCGTATACATGTTTTCTCAAACAGGAACGTGAAATGAAAATGAAGACACAAACACTACACTACCGTCACTAAACACTGAAATAAATAACTCCATAAGGCTGTACGCTTACACTATACAACGACACAAAATTCTATTTTGATTGTAGTAAAAACTAAAGTCACTGTTTAATTGACCGATAAACTGAAAACTAAAATGACGATTTGTTTATTTTTTGTCCAATTATCACCTGTTGCCGTATCATATTATAACTCAGATAAAAACTCAACTTGCATTCCGATCGGCAAATAATGATCAAGCATGTAACTACGAAACTATTGGTCAGCGAATTGAACGGCACAATCTCAAATACGGCGTTTTCATAAAGAATCGTACTTCAAAACGTGTAGGTAATAGTTTTCATTTCATAAGGGTCATTCGGGGTTTAATTTTGTTTGTGTAGATATGTTGTTTAATTAATTAATTTAAGATGTCTAGCACTGATGCAGCTAATGAAGTGGCTGAATAGGAAGTAAAAAGTAAAAATGTATAGAGCTTTGTTTAGAACTTTAGTACCTGTAAATAGTACCTGTTTTAACTTTCCCAATTCCGTTGTTATGCACTTTTATGAGCAAATTGTGACTGAGTGCAATTATTTACTTTGTTGTAATATGTAGTGACTGACCATGTTAGAAGTCATTGAGATTTACAAACAAAATACAGTGCTTTAAAAAATAGTAACAAATACCTTTTATTAAAAACTTGAAATGATTTTTAAAATTATACCTACTTATCGATCCATCAGATCCACATACCAATATTAACTAATATTTAATAAATAATGAAGAAAAAAATATTTTTCAAAACACTAGAAAATTTTCTATGTTCAGCTCTACATACATACGTTCGCATTGACATTGTAGACCGATCAAAATAACTCATTTAGAGGGAAAAAAAAGAAAATTGTTACCTGAACTTTTATAAGTCGAAATGGTAAAGGGGCTTATAATAAACGAAAAAAAAATAAATGCGTGATCAGGGGCGGCGGAGGATTGATTTGGAGGGTTGAAAAGTTATGAAAAATTGTATCATTAGGATTTCTGGCGAAAGTTGACGTCAAACAAAAAAATATCCAATACAAAAGTTGTAGATCATGCAAAAATCTACAACTTTTCTACAACTTTTTAACATAACCTCAATATTTCCGAGAAAAATGCGAAAAACAGGTTTTTTTGTGATTTTTCGTTTTTTATTTCTCATTTCTGCAAAAATAATTTAATTTTGACGAAACTTGGTGAAAGCATACCTTTCTCTATCTTAAATAACCTCAAATTTTTTTAGATAAAAAAATCGAGAAGTTTCTAAGATATTCATTTTCTTCGGCCTGAAACACTTTTTTTTCAAAGAAAAATTCTACTTACAAAAATCATCGTACATCATTTTTTTCGTTTTGACATATACTTTTTGGTGAAATAAAAAAAATTGTAATCACAGCTCAAAAACATGCTCAAAAATGCAAAAAAGTAAAAAAAAATTGTTGATAATTTGTTTAAATAAAAAGATATTCAAAAACTGATTACACCATTCAATTCTACGGAAAAAAAATAAAAAAAACTATCTCATTGTTTGATATGTTACAAGATTTTACCAAGAGCACGAAAATCTCGAAAAAGGACTGATGCATCAATAAAAATAAAATGAATTAATTTCAGCGACCAAATAAAAAGTTATGGTAATTCCTGTCCCAAGACACTCAAGAATTTACCACTAGCCCAAGGCAGATGGACGCGATTGCTTCATCAAAAATTAGTTTTACTTAGAAACAAGTCCACAGCAAGTTTCATTAAAATCCATAGTAACATTCTCCAAATATTACAAAAAACATATATTTTTTCAGGAACTTTGACAGTCAATAGCAGAGGAGCCAGGCATTTTTTCTTAATGGAAGTTAGGTCAAATCGTCTTCTTTTGAGCCAAAGAATGTCGCAGTACCTCTTTGATCATGTGCTTATGGGACACCCTGTATAACTCGACTATTTAATTGGTAAAAAAAAAATATATTTCAGTTAAGTATTCTGGGAAAAACTATTACCTGGTCCATGACATGGGGACCAAACATCGACAATAAAAATTTTGTTTTCTTCTAAATTCCTGCACTATTGACTGCAAATGATAAATATATAGTTATTTTATTTTACTTACTATTTTGTTTACAGGCAGGTGGGCTGCCTGCCCATTTCCCATCCGCCTGGCAGGAGCGGCTCTGCAGGCCCACCACGTGGTAACCGTGCTGGCAGGAATACGTCGCTCTGGCCCCAAACAGTCTACCGCTCGCCGTGACGCTCCCAAAGGCAATCTGTTCCGGCTCAGGGCATTCACGATCTGGAAATAACGTCACGCAATTCAATTACTGCCGTTTTATTTGTACGTGCCGGATAATAGATAGGGCGCAATATAACCATATGTAAATGGCCGAAAATGTCATTGTGCGTTAATAGATTCAGCAGTTGGTGCCTGAATTATTATTTCGGGACTGCATACAAATACGGCACTAGACTGAAATATAAAACACAATAGAGGCGTTTCACATTTTTCATTCTTTTTTTTTTTCGTTTATTTGAATTCAGCACGTTTTTAAAATGTAACTCTTGTAGTTTTTTCCAGCTTTTCACAACATTTTCTTACTTCCCAAAGTGATTCAGTCATTATGTCATTAATTTTAACCACGTATTCGGAAGGCCTAATAAATACAGAAAATCGAAAAAAATGTTACTCGACCTTTTAAAACATAAGCAAATTACAACTTAACTTCCGTTAACTCGGCGTACCATAGGAAACAACTGATTTCCCAGTCTTACACTTGGTTTCAAAATCAAATTGTGTACAGTGGATCCCAACTTAACAAAGTATTATGGACGGATGAATGAATGTTTTTACACACACACACAATAAGATATACGTACTACCAACTGGATAATTAATTGATCACAATACTAAAAACTCATATTCAATTATAAAACATAGTGAAAACGTTAACAATATTAATAATACTACATAACCTAACACAAGAAGGTTAGATTCAAAACAACTTATTTCACGTTTCTATCAAGTACCTAGTTAAAGCTGATACACTAGAAGCATTTAAGTGTTTTTTATCAACATGGAGCTTATAGAAATAGAAAGAATTGAAATACTAATAATGATTAGTTGTGGGCAAAACGAAGACTCAGAGATAAGTTTGTACTTTATTTAAAAATAAATACTCCCACCGAGAACTAATTTCTTAATGCCCATTAAGCAAAATTGAAAAGAAGTTTAGAAAAACGGGTTCATGTAAAGATGGTAGTAAACAAATATCCGAAAATAAAGCATTTCAAAAAAATTCTCATACTACTTCACGGCAAGTAACATTAGATAATGATATGCATTATTCAACAGAAAGCTTAGAAAAGCTAAAAAAGGAAAAATGGCATTCTTACAAAATTACCTTAGTTCATGAGCTTTTGGAAGACGATTTAGATAAACGAGTCGAAATTTGTAAAATTCTAATGGAAAAAAATTAACCGAAATCTATTTGTTTCAAAGACTCGTAAATGTTCATGTAAACTGTCAAACTTGTCGGTATTGGGCAACTGAAAGTCCACATTAGGGAGTATCATAGTCAGTATTCAGAGAAAGTGAGTGTTTGGGACAGAAATAATAGATAATAGGATCATAGCACCATACTTCTTCTAAGGAACCTAACAGGTCCTCAATTTTACAACTACACTATGGTGTATTGGTAAGAAACTACTTGTACAACGTCTTTTAAGATAGGTGGATAGGGTGAAGAGGATCAATTGAATGGCCACTTACGTCTCCAGATTTAACTCCTCTAGATTTCTTTTTATCGGGATACTTTAAAAGTAAAATATACCAAAATATACCACAAAATCTAGATGCATCAAAAGAACGCATTCGAACGGAGATGGTACAAATAACTGGTTTTATCATTTACGTTTTCCATATACGGAATAAACAACCTATAATAACATAAACAAACAAAATAAACAAATAAAATACTCATGTGTTTTTCTTAAATGTGCAGTTCACAATCAAAAAGTGAATTTAAGATTATAGTTAATTTTTTGTAAGCGTTCTTGGCATATCCCACTATTTATATAGTTTTTTATTATTCGTAATTAAAATTAAAACTTATTTTATTTAATTTGGAGCTGCACATTTAAGAACAATATTTCACGTAGTTGTTTATTGTATTCATAATTTCATAGGTTGCTTACACCATTTAGGAAGAACAGGCATGACACCTATAGCCTTTAATATTAATTTTACCAGCAAAAAATATTTCTGCTCGAAATTTAGTACAACCCACGTTGTAGGAGTGCAGAATCCAATGGCGCAGTCAGATTTTAAATAAAAAAATCGCTGATAAGTTTTTGTTAAATTTGCCACCAAAAAAATTAAAGTAGACTTTGAACAGAAAATAATTTGAAATGAGTCACAATGTATGATTTAGTCATAATGTCATTAATTTTAAGGGAAGATGGGGGAAAAATGAGTAGAATGCAAATACGCGATTTAAAAAATTTTAAAATGCATATTTACGCTGGAAAAAAATTTTTTCAAATAATTATTTAAACCCCTTTTTGGACCGCTAATGACCGGTGTGTATATAGGTTTATCAAGAGTGAATCTTGACCCACCGTATTCGGTCAGTAACCTAGCTTGACTTTTTTACCTAGACATATGAATGAGTAAGATATTTTTTTACATTTTAAATATTAACAAGTATTTGTTAATAAAAACAAATGTATAAGGATAATAATTGTTTTCGA